CCGTTGAAGACGTTGCGGATGTCGGCCATGGAGTACACACACACCGCCGAGCCCTTGAACACGGAGCTGCGGGCAGACGGACAGGCAGGCCGGGTCAGCGCTCCAGGGGAGGGCAGGCCGTGAGGCGTCTGCCCGAGACGACACGCATCGTGGGGACTTACCCTGCGGTGGAGAAGACTGCGTACACCACCGGGTTCCGCTCGTCCTGAGTGGGCTGGATAAACACGTCTCCTGCGAGGAGACCACGGCACAACACAGACACGCGCATCAGAGTGGGGGAGAGGGCTTCCACAGCCCGACCCCCGCCACTCTCTGTGCAAAAAAAGTGCTTCCCATTCTCCCTCTTAAGTAACTGGATACCGCAGGAGGTGTAATAGTGAATCTGGAGTTTGTGTGAGCGTGAGAGAGGCAGACAGAGCTCCATTCGTTATAGTACAGCTCCATCAGGCTGAATGGACACCACCAGCTGTACGTGAACACTTTCTAGCACTGCACTGAGCCTGGGAGACAGAGGAGAGGGTCAGAAATGAGACAGTGGGATTTATCCTACGAAACACCGTCTTACGCAGCTCGTCGAAGTACGTCTCCACGCCATCGTCCCCGATGACCGAGCACACCAGCCTGGCCTTCAGGAAGGTCGTCCACTTGTTCACCAGTGACCTCTGACCCCCGTCGTCGTTCTAGGACAGAAGACATGGTCACACAGCTGAAGGAAGCTGGCGCCAGGATTTTCAGGCAGCAGGACGGGGGGGGGGCCTCACCAGGCAGACGCGCCCCACTCTGGACAGGACGCTGGGACTGCTCCCGGACTCCAGCGACTTCTCCCGGAAGAAGAAGTACAGCTTGTCGTCGTTCTTCTCCGTGCTGTCTGGGATCTTCCGCACCTGGATGAAGACAGGCTCTGAGGAGCAGAGAGGGACACAGGGATCTAGTCCAAAAGGCAGGTCTGCATTCCTCCTTTTCAGAAGGTACTGTTCCTCATGATTCTGTCCTCCTTTTTTGTCAAAATCGATGGTTGTTTCCCCTTTCAGACTTGCCATTTATTGGCACTTATCATTTCGAAGGGCGTTATCATTCTTTATGATCTACACATCTGCTGGGGTCTGTATACGGTGCAGCTAACGAGTGTTTGAGTCATTGAAATACACTGCCAGATGCACAGGAAGCATAATGAATTCACGATAATGTAATTAGAAAGTTACACAGTGCAATAACAGCTTATAACTCAAATACTGCAGTGCAGGAGCTTTCCTAGTGTGGGTTTGTACAATAAAGTGAAGAGACTAATGCAATGAGGACTGCTTGTGTCTGGCTGCTGGTGGGACAGGGTGGGCGATGGCCCTCACCATTAAGCCAGCGAGAGTCGTACTGTTCAGTCCTGACTGCTGGCCTGCTGCCCATCGTCCTGAAAATGGCTGCGTCCGTCCCCATGAAATCAACATGGACTCCTGCATAGAGATTCCCACCTGGAGACAGAGGACCAGAGAGGAGAGGGATAAGGGCTGGTGCATCTCTCTCTTCCACAGAAAGGGCTGAGCATTTTTACAGACACTTTTGTCACAAACAACTGCCGAGGTTTTGGGAGCCAAAGGACAAAATGTGAACTCTCTTTCCTTTCCTCCTGCAAAAATACTGTTAAAATCGAATGTTCCTTGGCTTCTTTTTGAGGTTGGAGAAGGGTGGTCGAGTTGTGAAATTTTGCATAAGAGCAAAAGTTTTCAAAAGCCATCCCGCTACCCTGTATATCAAGGTCTTCCTCAGCCAAGCGTCTACAGCTTTTTCTAATATACTCACTGATTTACGCAAGGTTACATTCTGCAAAGCCTTTCATGAGCCAAAATTGATATGAGTTCGAATCCACTCTTACACTGTAAATTCACTGTTGTTATTTTTATTAGTAGTAGTGTTACACTAATAATATTAGATTACATCTTTCACATCACTAGAGTGCACTGCAAACACATGGCAGAAATTTTTCCAGGCTCAGAACGCTGACTGCAAAGCGCAAGATGGCTGCCTCTTTAGCTTTGCACTACGGGAAATGTTCACATCTGGAGTCCTGGCTTGGCAGATCAGCTGAACTCTTTCACCGACAGAGCTGCAGGTGTCCCTCCTGCCACAGGGGGGCACTGTTGTGTGACAAGAAACGCCAGACAACAACAGTCCAGACGGCAGTCTGAGACCCAGACTGAACCCTGGAGCCACTCCGGTGTCTTTGCATCAGTACTAATCTCAACCTCCCTCCTGTGCAAGTGGCTCCAGCAGCAGTGCTAATGTTCCTCAGGGACCGGCACC